CGCCTGGTGAAACCGCTCCTGTTCACCGTGGGGGTAAGTGGCTCCTGCGGGCCGGGTGCTGTACCCGGCTGCGGGGAGCGGGTCGGTAAGGACCGTATCCCATCTTTCTCAGGGGAATGCTTCCTTCTTGGACTTCGCCTCTCAGTACCTTAGAGTTAACGCAAGGTTGTTGGCCAAATACCGTGGCGTTATACTGAGGTAATGCAAAGTAACTTCAGCTAAATCAATGGAAATATTGTAAAGGTATCCCAGTTTCATTCCATTTCGGTGAACTTAGTAATTTCATTGACTGTTTTATTTGTGAGCCTTTTTGATAAAGCATCCCATGACACTGGATGATTTACTTGAGTAAACTTGAGGAAATGGCCTCAAGATGCACAAGGAAAGATTTAGGTTAGATGTTAGAGAAAAAAAAAAAATAACAGAAGGGGTTGCAAAGTGTTGAAATAGGCTGCCCAGAGCAATGGTGGAGTCCCCATCCCTGGAAGTGTTCAGAAAACACGTGGATGTGGCACTCGAGGACACGGTGAACTCGGTGGTGGTGCTGGGTTGACATTTGGAGTTACTGCTCCTAAAGGAGTTTTCAGCCTTAAGGACCCTGTCATGGTGTGAGTCCTGCAGGCGAGCGGTGCCTCGGGTCCGGCTGCCGTGCTCGCAGCGCTCGGGGTGCGGCATTAGCCCGGGATGTGCCCCCGGCCGGGGCCTGGGGGTGGAGCGGTCACTGAGCCTCTGTCCGCTATTGCCCAGTTCACAGGCTCGGCCTTCGGCTCCGCCGCCATCTGGCAGTATGAGTCGCTCAAGTCGCGTGTCCAGACCTACTTTGAGGAAGCTCGAGCGGACTGGATGGATAAATTGCGGCCGCAGAAGAGAGGCGACTTCAGAAAGCAGGTACACAGCGCCAGGCCCGGGCTGCTCGCACAGGGGCGGATCCCTGCGGGACTGCGAGGCACAGCCGCATCTCTCCTCTGGTGTGAGCATCGTTTGTGCAACACATACTTGTCCTGGTTTTTCTAATTTGGAACTTGGAGAAATATTGGCTTCTCAAAAAATTACAGTAGATAAATTGACTTGCAAGGAAAACTGACAGAGTTAGTTCTAGAAAACTGTAACTCAATATCACTGCAAAAGTTATAGTGGAAAAATAGAGAAAAATACCACCCATAGCTACAGGAAAGAGAGGTTGGTAGTAAGAATTTGTTCCTCTAAACTAGGTACAGTTTGCTTTTTCACCATGAAGAAACCCCCAACAAATGTTCTTGCTGTAACTTAAGTGCTCTCAAAAGTGAACGTGACTTCCCAGAGGACAGAACTAGATTAAATTCTTAATTTCTTAAATTATAGATTAAATTTTCAGTCTTATGGTTAAGACTTTTCAGAGCTCTGGCTTCTGAAATGCATTTGTATTTTCAGCCTCTAAACCCTTAAAAATACGAGGTTTTAGAGGGCTTTTTTACTTTAAGAGCTGATATTTCCACACAAGTACTTTTGAGTTTGGGCAGCAAGAACAAAATAAGTGCTGCGAGATTTGTTATAAATTTAGTTGGCATCCCAAAAGTATCAGTCATTTAGTTTTTAATTAGGTATACTTAAAACTAACCTAAATACTCATGGATGTTTGCATTTGTTTCAAGGTTACTACTGGCTTGTGATAGACCAGGCTTGATACTCTTTCAGGTCTGCTTGTCCAAGGGAAGTAGGGCTGAGCGTGGAGCTGGAGAGACTCGGGATCCTGGGTAGGACACACAGGAGGTGTTTTTCTAATGTGTATGGAGCACACCAGCACTGCTGTGGAACTGGGCATGTTGGATAACCCTGGTGAGCAGCAGAGCTCCGTGTGGCTCCTTGCTCACAGCCTCCACAAAAACCCAGTGGGCTGAGGGATGAAGAAAAGCACAAAAACTTGGGGGTAAAGATCAAACAATCACCAAAAAAATGTTTAGTAAGTGTGAGAAAAGAGAAGAAAACAAGTGATGCATAGGCAGTCACTCAATCTCCTGTGGAAAGACCAGTGCCCAACCAGTTCATGAGAAAAAAATGTTAAAGCTCCTGAAATTGCCTCTTTTGGGGGGGATGATATTATTTGGTAGGGAATATCTCTGGTTAGTTCAGGTCATTTGCTTGGTTGTGTCCCTTTCCAGCCTGTTGCATCCTGCAGTGGCAGAGCCAGAAATGCAAAAGATATTGATGTGGTGCGAACACCATTCACCAAAATGTAGAACATTAGTGTTACTAGTACTGACTTGGTCAAAAATCCAAAACACAGAACCATGTACAAGCTGCTAGAAAGAATATTACTTTTATCCCAGCCTGCTTTCTTGCTTGGTGTGTATGAACTGCAGGGGAGATTATGATCAGCACTTAATATTTTAAAATAATTATGCCTTTATACTTTTGTTTTCCTTCAAAACCTGAAGGGGAAGATCTGGTGATTAGCTATCCAAAAAAGAAAACTAAACTGCCCTGTTAATAGGCTTAAACTCCCAATCCCCATCTTCAGTGGGTAAGTTCTGTTTCTAAGAGTTCAGGATTCACCTCGTTGTTTCTGAGGTCATGTAATCCTTGTGTTTTAGAAAAATGTCTGTTCTGTGTTCTTTGACTGAAGAATATCCTCTGCCAGAGAATGAAACAAAAAATGCAATGAAGCTGTTACTTTTATATAAATAGTGAATACTTTGTTTCATACAGCATTACATCCCCTGCCTTCAACCTGCAGATAATTTTATGTCAGTGTCCCCATCAATACGGTTGGAAGGTCAAAATACCTGTCCAAAATGATTACAAAAGCTGAGGAAGGGAGAGGGGGGTGCAATTTATCTGTGGGCTGACTGCACTCAAAATAAACTTTTTCAGAGGTTTTAAACTTGGAGGAGGGCTGGGTGAACTGGACGCAAGGGGGAATGGATTCCACATCTTGTGAGCCACCTCTGCAAAAGTGATCCTGGCACAAAAGTGGAATCACTCAAAGGTGGGTGGTGTGATGTTAGACAGCATTAGGGTGAGGCTTAGTCGAGGCAGGATTTATGCTAACTTTGGCTAATCTGCTAAAGTCAGCATTATGGGCTAGATCTTTGTTTAATGCAAGCAGGATAAACCCACTGGAGTTGTGTAAAAGGATATAACCTCATTCTTTCTAAAGAAGCTCTTCATCCATATTGCAGTATTTTATGAAAAGGAGGGTAGATAGCTGTTCTTCAATAAGGAAAATGTCAACTAGAAAAGCTAAAGCAATCAGAAGTAAAAAAAAAATTGAAACTGATTTACTTCACAGATTTCAAACAAATGCCTTCCAGTCTTAAAAATTTATAAACTTACATGTCTGTTTTTGAAATCGCAAATGCTTCAGGGTGGCACTGATGGACAACAATTCTGTTTCAGGTTAACAGCTGGTGGAATAACCTGACTGAGGGTCAGCGGACTGTGACAGGTTTGTGTTAGCTTACAAGTATTAGACATTCACAGGAAGAGAAATATGGCAAACAGGTACAGTATATTAAAACAGATGGCTTTCATACCATGTTTAGGTTATTGAGCGCAAAGCATGTGTAAATTTACACCTGCACATACACTATTTCTGCTACACTTCCTTCTCACAAACTATTTTTGTATGCCTTAAAAAAGTTCCTGTGCATCTGTGTGAGAGGGTGTGGAGAATTAAGTAGAATCCTCCCCCAGCAATATTTTTCTCACAAATTATGAAAACCAGCAAATGCTTTTAAAGTAATGGGTGTATATATTCCGCTGAAAGGTAGGAATTAAATTACCTAATAGTTACACGTTTGCAGTATGACATAGGAAAAGTAGCAAAAAAATAGCCTTTGAGCTTTCCTTTGGTTATAGTGTAGTTTTGATTGGTTAGCTTAATGCTAGCTGAAATCCCTAAGATAAATGAAATGTGTGAAACAAAATTGATGAGAACTTGATTTGAATCCAATAGCTGAGCCCTATCTCCTGCTACATATTCTACATTAACTATTTACTGAATCTGTATTAGCAGGTTGTTAGTGTAAGGTTACTTAAATGCTATTTCTTTGCCATTTAACAGTTATTTTCACCTTTAATGTTTCCAGATATTATAAAACATTATAAATACCTAAATGCTTGGAGAGAAATAGAGAAGACACTTTAAACAATAAATAATACATTTTCATTATGTTTCAAATAATTTGCACTCTTACTCAAAGTAAAGTAAGATTGCAATAACATCTGTGAAGTAAAATGATGTGCATTTGCTGTCTCCCAAAGGTCACTGTGCACTAGCAATGCCAATTCAACTTTACAATTTTCTCAAAACCAAAGCTCCTCTCCAGAAATGAACAGGATGTGTACTGTGTACTTGTATGGTTCCCCCAGTCTTCTTCTCTTGTGCAGTTAAATGCAACTGTGCAGTAGATTGGTGTCATTTGGATATAAACAGCAAGAGGGGCAGGAAATGGGACCTCTTAGCTGCCTCCTGTTTCATTGATTCTGCAATAGAATATAGCAGTTGGAAACCATAGCTTGAGCCTTCTCAGCACAGATCTTTCTGGACTGTTGGATTCATTACACTGTATGTTAGAACAGTTGCAATTAAATGTTATCTTTCTGAAAGACTTTCACTATAGAAATGCAGCTTTCAGTATTTCTTATTGCTTTTTCTAAACTGTATACAAAGTAAAAAGTGGATATTGCCTTTAATGGAATTGTGAAGAAAAATTACAATTCCACAATCTGCCTTTTTAAATACCTGCTTTCAGTAAACATTATGGTGTACTGCATTCATAATTTGCTTTTATACTTTCTTTTCCCCTCTTGATAGGCATTATAGCTGCAAATGTCTTTGTATTCTGTTTGTGGAGACTGCCTGGCATGCGACGGATTATGTTTACATATTTCACCTCAAATCCATCCTCCAGTAAGTGAACAATAATTTGCATGGCTTTCCTACACAGAGATATAATAGAATCTCTGATGACACTGCAGAAAGCTCAGGTGGCATGTGGCTTACCTGGAGCTCCATCACCCACAGGCTATCTCAGTCATGCCCAAACACATTATTCCATCTAGGCAGGAAATGGTTTGATGGGAAGAATGTTAGGAGTAATGGGTCTGATTTTTTAAAACAAAGACAACTGGTGCTTTTCGAAATATTTTAACATCAAAACTGTTGCCTGCTGTCTGGCCTTTTCCTGCATGCACTGGGATACCGCTCCTGCCTGAATAAAGGTGAGAGGTACTCTTCCCAGTGACATCAGCCAAACTGTACTACATAATGCCATTCATAAACTGGACTTAAATGTGATTATTTCCTCCCTTTAATGTTCTGTGGGATGCAGATAGAACCATCATCAATCACATGCACCTGTGCTTTCATCAGTAGACAAGCATTAGTCTGTAGATTGTGCACAGAGTCCTTGCTGCAAAGCTCTTCTTTGAGTCACGTTAAGAAAACCCAAACACCAACTTGGCTTTCACTGTGTGTGAAATGTGTTGAATATATTAACCTAGGGAAAAAATTTAGTAATATTTAATGGCAGAAAAATGAGGTTTCATTTCTACAGCAGAGAAAAGAATTAAAAGGACAAGGAGACATATATGTTGGAAGGTATTTCCTACTATCCTCTTAATTTCTGCTGAAAACCTGGAAACTCAACCAGTTCCCCCACACACTCCAAAGCTAAAGATATCTGCTCCCCAGATCTGAGCATGTCATCCCAAACACTGCTATTTTAAATAATATTGACCTTCAAACCTGCTAATTGGCTTGTTTGCATATTCAAGGCTGCCATGTCAGTGAGGAAAGCTTTTGCAAAAAGGAATGCTATCTTTTCTTTGAGTTCATCTTTGTTTCAAATTTTATATGGCTGCTCATTTATTAAAAATTCATATACATATATAAATAAAATAGCTTTTTTTCTTTTTCAAAGCATAGGACACGTCATAAGGTAATGTTTTCTATGAAACAATCCCCAGTAGGTAGCTAAGACTGTTACTACAACTTGCATATCTTTGGGGTATATATTACCTTTCCAAAAGGCATTGCTTGGAATTTGAAATTTGTTTCATTGCTGGATTTATTACGTAGCTTGTATTTGAGAATCTAGGCATAATTAGCCTATAGTGTCTCATAATAAATTTCTAGTCTACATGATGTGTAAGTTGAAGCAAATTAAAATACTGACTTCTTTATGTGCATTGCTTTTCTGTTTTGCAGGAGCCCTGTGTTCTCCCATGCTGCTCTCTACGTTTAGTCACTTCTCCCTGTTCCACATGGCAGCAAACATGTATGTTCTATGGAGCTTTTCCAGCAGCATTGTCTCTCTTCTGGGCTGTGAGCAGTTCATTGCAGTATATCTTTCTGCTGGTAAATATATATATTTACAACACTTAAAGAATATAAATATGTGTTCATAAAAGTAAACTGTGCTTTTAGTCACACACATTGCTTTATACTAAAGGCATCATAATTGCTGTCGTGCAGATTTTTGGTGGGTTTAAGATGTTGGGCTTTGAAATATGACAAAACCGTATCTGGTTTTAATTCCTGCTTTATTACCAAAATAAAATAGCTCTTAATACAATTTCTTGGGATTTTTGTGACAAAAGATGGCAGTTAATTTGTACTTTCTGATGCTGGTCTGCATTGCTGTCATCATTTCCAGTAGCAATTTCTCTTTTTCAGGGGTTATCTCTAGTTTTGTCAGTTATGTTGCTAAAATGGCCACAGGAAGGTTTGAACCATCCCTTGGAGCTGTAAGTATCTTGGAATATGAGAAACTGATAATGATCTTTGAAGCCAATTTGAAAGCCTGGTGTATTCTTTAACCTCTTTAAAAGCCAAGAGTATATTTTGGGTAATGGAAACTAGAAAGTTTTACCAAAATCAAGTAACCAGGTACAAACTGGTTGTCCTGTGCAACAACTTGCCTGTTCTTCAGATATGTTACCTCTGCTGCAGCAGCTGCCCAGAACTAACACCACTTAATGCTGAGGGCTGTAAATGAGTCCAGAACAGCAGGAGCTCTTGTCCCTGAACAGATCAGTTATGTAATTTTATTGCAGAAATGGTATTTCATAATTGTGTAGCAGTCTAGTCTAATTAAAAATAGAATACTTTGGAAAGAGATAATGTAATCAGACAATCAAACTCAGCATGTGATCCCAGTGGATGTTGTAGGGCATGCTGTGCAGGAAGGGCAGCACTCCTGCCAAAAGTCTCACCCAATGAATGATATGAGGGAGGCTGAGGAGCTCCTGTAGCTGCCAGTTCTTTCCAAGTGTTTTTAGTGGTAGAATGTTTTAAAACACTTAACTTGCATTAAATTTGAGGTTAACCTAGACATTTGCCAGGTTTTAAAGGCTCTATTTACTATACTAAATAATTTTGATGAAAGCCCAAAGTCAGATTCTCATTATTCTGTTAGAATGAGAAAAAATGTTTAGCTGTGCTGAAGTTAAAACTTTCGGAAAAGCTATCTGTGTATTGTCCCTTTGTCTTATGAATGAACTATATCTAGAGCAAGTTACTTTCCCTTAGTTTTACTGATCTGAATTTACTGAAATTACCATGGATTGCATTAGTTTACTGCATTCAGAGCCTTTCCATTGAGATTATTTCAGGGATACAAAAGCCCATGGTCAATTTAGTACAATCCAGGGAATTACTTGTTTCTTTGACAAAAGATTTTTGTTCCTGTCCATCTGTTATTTTCCTTGATTTTGTAGAAGCTTCAGAATGATTCCCTTCATCAGATGTGTCAATGCTTGATTAGTACAGACCCTAGATTTCTAGGCTTTACTTGGGAAAAAGCACATTCCAGAAATCATTAGCTTAAATTTGGGAGTGGGTATTTTGTAATTAAATAAGAGGATTTGAAGGATGTTTTTCCCCAGTGTTTATAATTCCAAATATTGAAATTAAATAGTAGTGTCTTGTTTTATTTTTATTCTGAACTTTTCTGTGGTGCTTTGTACTTTGAGGTTTACCACAGGGGGCTGGATTTGAAAATAAAAGCCAAAAGGAAAACAGGTTCACATGCAGAAAAATATATTAACTCTCATGGAATATCTTAGCTTGCTTTGATGTGTTTTCCTGTATTCCCAGTCAGGAGCTATAATGACTGTCCTTGCAGCCGTGTGTACGAAGATGCCAGAAGCAAAACTGGCCATCATACTTCTTCCGATGTTCACATTTACAGCAGGAAGTGTAAGTGCCTTGGAACTTGAAAGAGATGCTACTCTCAAAACATTTTTCCCCTACCTCTTCAGTATCTGAGCATGTGTCCTCTTCATCTGTGTTTCTAAGCTGTTAAGTTTAGTTTGGAAGAGTAGAAGGGTCATGGAAGTCCCAGGGATTGATTCTGAATTGTTGCAGCCCAGCGCAATCTTTACAGCAGTGTGACAAATTCAGAATTATCCTAAATTACACCCTCCATGGGTCTGTTTCAGATCTAATCCCAAGAGGTGAAAGAATTTGGGAGGGAGTCAGGTTTACCTGTGTGAGGAAACCTACATACACATCCTCTTCTTTCTGATGGGTGGTATTTTTTATAGCAGCGCTTGAAACAGGCTGATGTAAAACTGGTATGCGGTCTTTAAAGAAAAAATTATCCAGATGAGAAAGACAGACAGAATTTCACTTCTTGAGATTATATTCCAGCCCTGGAGGAATATTTGTCTCCTGTTTTGTATATCATCTTTTGATACTTTTAGGAATACTGTGGAATACTAGGCTACTGAGACTTGTCTTCATGTGTAGTACTAAGACTCCATTTTTGGTTCATTAAGTTCTTTTATGCACATCCACTGCCACATTTAAGAAAAGCTTCTCATGTATATCTTAACTTGCTTTAATAAGTTAATCATCTTTGGTCTGCTGCTTAAAGTTGTTTTACTGCTTAAAGCAGTTAAGCCAGGTCATTCTAAGATCATGAGATTTAATACTTTTTGTAAGTGAAGCTTATAGATTTGAACAAACATTCTTAGCTGTAGCCTTCATGTTTTTCTTGCACTTCTGCTTGAGTTGACCCGGGGATTTTGGGGGATTTTTTTGGTTTTGTTTTGGGGTTTTTTTTGCATGCTACCCTTTAACTGCATCTTTCTTAAAAAAGGTGGTCAGGGTAGAAATACAGGCAGAGCCACAGAGAGCATTGCCATGAACAAGCACTCATTGCAACAACAAAACAAGAGCAGTATCAGCTATTGCAGTATAAACATTGGAATGATTTTAGCCCAACTATATAATTGTATATCTCAACTTTACAGACCCCTTTAATCTACCTTATCTATACTGTAATGGGCTTTCAAATTAAACAAGCCAGTGTAGCAATGGAGCTTTCACCTGTGCTTAAGGAAAGAAATCCTGCCTAAAGTACCATTTCATCCAAGCGTTAAATCTGTCAGTCTTTATGAAGTCTTGTGTATTGACAGTTAGGGTGCCTTGTGTGTCCTGAAGATGATACACCAGCAGCTCATGCTGCTGGCATGAGTTGTTCACTGTCATCCTCATTTTCTGCCTTCCAACAAATGTTTATATCAGATAACATAGCAGGGATGCTGCCCCACATGTTCCATCCACTAGAGGGTTGTGTTCAGGAGCACAGATGCACATAAATCTAAGGTACATCAGAATTAGAGAATGAGAATGTTGCAATTACATATTTTGTGGTGTCTTTTATAGCATGTACTCTTTCAATAAATTTCTGTTGCCTTCTGACCCAAGTTTGGAATGTATTTGTAGCTTTAGAAATGAAGATTGGAAGAGACTGAGTGTTTGAAAAGAACACACTATCACCCTGCACTATTCTATAGCTGCTTACATCTGTATTTTGACAGCACAATACAGCTGGAGACCGAGTCTATTGTTTAAAAACTTTTTTTACAGTAATTTCTTTGATATAAAATTTATAGGGTGTTCTTTGATTCCAAATTTTTGCTCTGTGCTAGAATAGAAATCATTTGCCATTTTATGCTGTGACTGTCCATTCCATCTTCTCTCCTTTCTAGGCTTTAAAAGCCATAATTGCATTTGACACTGCAGGGCTTGCTTTAGGCTGGAGACTTTTTGACCATGCTGCACACCTTGGGGGAGCTCTCTTTGGAATGTAAGTCTGTATTTACTAACTGTTTTATATTTAAATTAATCCTGTGTTTTTCTCTCTTCCTATATTGCTGAAGTGTGGGGTGTTTTTTTGTAAAGTTGTCTTAACTAGCAATGAATACAACTCATTGTTACTCTTTTAGTGCTGTAATTTTTTATGAAAAACGCTGTTAACAGATGAACTGAAAGAATTGAGCTGAACTGCCTTAGAATTGTGGATTAGATGTCAGGTGGTCCTGTAACCTGGGCTGGCTGTCTCTGTCCTGCTCTTGCCAGCACATTGAAAAGAGTCACAGGACAGAAAAGATTCTCACTAAACACAGAATGGACAAATTAAAATAACTTTAAAGAGCTAAAAAAATGTCTTTGTGTCAGTGTTTTTCCTCTAATTGCCAATTTACAGAGAGCTACAGAGTTAATAAAAGCTCAGGCCAAATTCCTTTGAGCAGCCTCTAGTGCAGTTTTCTCAGTGTTGCTGTATTGCCTTTGTGGGGAGCCTTCCTAATTGGTAAGAACTACTAGAAACAAGTTTGTAGGAAACAGTTCTCTATTGTTCCATGTTTGAACTACACTGAATTTTTCCCTTTCTACCCAATATTACCTCTATTGTTAAATGCATTTTTTAATATTTTATGTAGGCATTTGAAAAGCCTGCTGGAGATTTCACTAGGCCAGACTTAAAGGCAGTGTAACTAGCTTGTAGACCAAATAGTTTCCTATTCCTTGGATTTGGTGTCAGTAAGTTCTGTGCTGTACAGTCTCCCTTTCTCCCCTTCTCTGGTATCACAAATGCATCTGATGTAGTCTTGCTAATAACTGCTTTCTGTCCTGATGGATCTGTATCAGCTTGTTCATTGTAATGAAGGAACGACCTGCATTGGTAGTGCAGATTCACATATTAAAAGGGGATAGCACTTGCAGTGAAAATGGTCTGGAGTTGCCAAGTTTCTTGCTTTCTTGATCTGTATATGTTTTGCCTGTTTGTTCTACTCAGTGATGATTTTGGTCACTTCACCCTAAAAGAGGACCTTATTTAGGACCTATGTTCAATGGCCAAAGTATTTTCTATACACTGCCTCCCACTTTAGAAAGCAGCTGTAGGATTTAAAGGAATGGCCAGTTCACTGGCTGCTGGTTCATGAAAAGTGCTTTTGTTCCTCAGGACTCAGGTGTGGAGTTTGGCTTGGGAGAGAACCTTCAGCTTCTTTCCATGTGATTGCTTCCCCTCATGCCTCTCCACTGTAACCTCCATTGCTTAATCGCTTATGTTGATATTCATGTATTAGCATACATAATTGTCTGTGAATATAAACAAAGCTAGAACACTTTGATAGATTAATCTTCAGGTGCATATAGAAGAAAATTAATTTTGAATGGAACGTGGTTGTTCTTTGTGGGGCAGTTGTATTTATGTAGAGAAGATAGAACACTTTTCCTTGGCATTGTCAGTAAGGATCAGCAAAACAAAAGAACTGTTATAAGTCTTTTAAATGGAGATAATTTTTTATGCCTTTCTAAATAGAATTCACAACAGCTTGAAATTAAGGGAATGGAAACTGTTCATTCTCAGGACTGAGAACAACAAAGTTAACCGTTTAGAGTTAAGAGAATGAGTGGCTTACCTGCCATTTTCCAAGCAGGTTGTTCATTGTGCCTTAGTTTATCTTGTCTCTTACAGTGAGTATTTGCTTGGTTTCAGTGCTCAGCCTGTTTTCCCTCAGATGCAAAGAGAGGTCACAGTTAACTTTAACTATGACTTTCTTTCCTAGGTGGTACGTGACTTACGGCCACGAGCTCATATGGAAGAACAGAGAACCACTGGTGAAAGCTTGGCATGAAATGAGGACAAAGAACACAGGAAAGGGAGGAGGTGGAAGATCTAACTGATTCAAGTCCTAGAGATTCCTTGTGCCCAAATGCTGTCTTACTTGAAGACATGGGATTGAATTGGTTTTGAAGGTTTTTTTTGCTACTCCACATTAAGCCTCCAAGGAGCTGAAGTTTCTAATGTAACAAAATTATGTTACAAAAATGCATATCTATAGAAAATGAACTCTGACAAAGGTGGAACAATAAAGGTTTTTATCCTATTGCTTTCTGAGGTAACAGTCTGCATTACCTTTTTAAAGGTGGAATAAAACATGTTTTTAAATTAAGTGACCTAAATCTCTGTTTAAAAAATTGAGTACAACTGGTTAATACTAAGGAAGATAAACATTTTCAGAACTGAGGAAGTTAATGGATCACACACACCCCTAATGTCTGCCAGACAATACAAGGTGTTTTCCTAGAAGGGAAAGTGGGACTCAAATAAGGCCAACATGGTGAAGTTCAGTGGTTTTTATTGTTGCAAAGATTGGATGAAGTGAGGCAATGGTCTTGCTCGATTCAAAACCTGAAATACATGAAGCAATACTGGGTTGTTTGCCAAGGCTTATGTACTGGTTTAATGGTCCAGCTTTGCCACCTGTGGCTTATTCAACTTCTGTTTTTCATTTCTGTTGAGTTCCAACAAGCTTTCAGATCTTGTTAGATTTTACTACAATGATACATCCTTTTCCTAATTACGTGCAGGGGAAGAATGACATGCTGTGGTTTTTGATATCCTATTGTGAGTTACACTGCTTTCTGTTTTCTTTCACTGCACTGATCTGGGGGTGGGGTGGAGGGGTGTTCTTTAAGCTGTGCTGTATTGTTAGTTGCCTTTAAGGTTTTTCTAAGCATTTTAAACCTGTAACATCTGCTTCAGAATCTGCCAGTTTTAGAAAATAAGCAGATTCAGTAAAATCTGAGATCAGCGACACTGTCACCAGAAGTAACTACTAAAGTAAACCTGAGGTTAGAACCATGACCAATGTTCCTATTTTACAAGTAATAACTGGATTTGGGGTGTATTGCTACTCTGTGCCTGTTGTACAAGGATGATATTGAACCCATTGCAAAAGGCTGAGGAATCTGCCCAGACACAAGCTGGTGGGTTCAAGCCCTTAACTCTTTCCTGTCAGCTGAGTTTGTCCTTCCAATGGACTGACCTGCCAAAGAACAGGTTGCATTTGTAAGAAGCAACTTGTGGGTGTTTTTATTTTACAGCAGTGCCTCACATAAAATATATTTTCTGTGGGTAAAAGGAGTAAAAAATGCATTAGTTTTAATAAATGATGGAGTACAAAATTGGTGTAAACTCCCTGTCCCAGGCCAGTGCTTGTTCAGTTTTTCTTCTTCATTGGAAAAATGAGGCACTTGAGGATTTGTAACCTTCATGTGCCTGTTGCCTTAAACACTTAAAAATGAAGGAGCTGGAGGATCTAATATTCCTTTGCTCTGCTCCTAAAGTTTCCTGGCTTTCAGTTTCCAGTCTATCCCTTACTCCCCTTTCCTGCTCTGTGCTGTGGTATTCTGGCCAAGCATGCCAGTTCCCAGAGCTTCAGCCACAGTGCAGCCCTGCCTGCAGCAGAGGGCAGCCGAACATGCAGCGAGAGCACAGCACAGCCAGGGAGAAGCCAGCAGCAGCAGCAGATGATGGCCACTGAACAGGCTTGTCCTCGGGGAACATTTCATGCCAGAGAACCTGAAAATCCATACCTCAGACTACTTCACATGCTGGGTTTACATCTATTGTGTTCACTCCTTTTTCCTCCCCATTTCTCTTCTTTGTGTTACCTCTTGTCCATTCAACAACTTCCTTAGTCCCTTCAACAATTATGTTATTTGCTGAGAGTTTTTCAGAGATCCTGGCTGAAAGCAGTAGGGAGTAATGCTGCATAGAACCTGAAGAACATTGTATTTTACAGGTCTAGTAGGATAAGCCAAAATTGCAATTAAGTTCTTCAACACAGCACCAGTACCTCCTGGCCCTGTATGGTCTGCAGGGAGTGAAGTCCCACCTGTGCTGGATTTGCCCTCCCGGCAGCATGTTGCTGCACCCTTTCAGCCTGCAGGAAAGGACTCAAAGCACCTGAAAAAAGAATCCTGGAACTGCCACAGAGGTTTGGAAGTCACCAGCTTTCTAGCCAGTGGCTGTGGTTTGAGGGACTGATGCCTAAGTTTCATATTAACTTTAAACATAAGAGCATTCACCCTTCTACAGGCTGTTCAGTATCTCCATTTTCCTCATTTATAGAGACCCTAGAGGTGTATACCATATGTAAAGTTGTACAAAAATCTTTACCAAGCAGTGGGTTTCATGTCATTTTGCACCTGGGCCTTTCTGCAGCATTGCCTGGGAAAGACAAACTACCTTTTCTGTCCAAAATGACTTTAAAACTGCAATAGGAAAACCAATTCTCAAGTCACTCAAACATGGGATGCCCTAAAGTTACAAGAGCTTACTAGAGTACATAAGATACCTTTCTGGCAAGTAAATACCCTTCTTGCAAAGTGTGGCATCAGCACGTGTCAGTATCTCAACATTTAGTCACCTTTGACTGACAAATTAGAAGAATAACAAAAAGAGCCCAAAATCCAACCCCAGGAAAAAATAAAACAACAAAAAGAACCAATCATCTAAAACAAAACCAACCACAAGGAAAGACTTTCCCCTCCCTTTTCAAAGAGATTATTGTGAATAAAAATACAAAGTGGTGATTATGTGGACACTTGGCAAAGACAACAGCTAGTGTTTGTGTAGGAAAATTGCAATAAGTATAAAATCATGGTTAATCATGCAGAGACACAATTCTTCATCCTTTTAAGTCTGCTTTGCCCTTGCCATGTTTAAGGAATAATTTGTTTCAGTGATCTGCTCTATTGGAATTTAATTTTAGTGTTAAAACTCTTTGAGCTTTCAGCCCCCATTCCTGGCAGCAAGAGCTGTTTTGCTTTCTGATTTGATGGCTTTTGTCTTAGTGTTGCAGTATTCCACCCCTCCTCCTCCCAAGCTTTTAATCATGACAAATCTTCTAAATGTAGACAACTTTTTAATCTCATCCAGCATCTTCTGGTTTTCCTGTCTGAGTTAGCCTTTGTGCCAATTTCATCCTACAAGCTGTGATGAGCAGCTGCTCAAAGCACTCCCTGATGCTGTAGGTGGGCTCTGAGACATGCAGTGCCAGAGCTGAACTCAGTACTAGGAAGCGTCAGGCACAGGATGAGCAGAGACATCCGATTTATTCGCCAATGTATTTTGCTAAGTCAGGCCTAGGAACAAGGATCAGAGTGTCATTTGTACTGTGCCAGTGATAACATGATAAAACAGATGTTCTGTTTTCTCACATGGCTGTAAAGTCTGTTTCTCTTTACCATATAAGATTTATTTTTAAAAATTACAACATAGAATAGAGCAGTTTTCTTGAACTGAGAGCAGTAGAAAATTAAAAAATGTCTTCCTGCATACTAAATATATTAAATAATATATATAATACATAAATATTTCTAAAAGTAGAATTACATTTGTGGGGTTTTCAGACAACAAATGAAACACAGCATCCAATAGCCTATATAGTATTGTGACAAGAGTTCTGTGTTAGGATCAAATTTTACCTGACATTTCTGAGTCTCCTTGCCCCAGCTAGCATGTGAGGAGGAGGTATGGTGAAATCAAAACTGTTAGCAGCAGGGACAAGTGCTAAATCAGATATTTAGGACAACAGGATCATCTGCAAAGGAATTTCTTTTTATCCCATGATTGTGCTTCAGAGGCCAAACACCCAAGGAGAAGTTCTGTCCCAGTCCATATGTACATTTATAGTTCTCCTTCACCCCAGAGGCAATTGCAAATCTGAAGTGAGGTGCCAATACACTAGATAGAAACTGCTTAGCTGAAACAAAGCAATACATCTTACCTTCTCAAGTTCCATTGCATAACTAATTTCTTAATAAATCTTCATAGAATGGTGTGGGTTGGGTTAAAAAGGACCTTAAAGATCATCTCCTTCTACTCCACTTCCATGGGCAAGGACACCTTCCACTATCCCAGGTTGCTGCAAGCCCATCCAACCTGGCCTTGGACACTTCCAGGGATGGGGCATCCCCAGCTTCTCTGGGCAACCTGTACCAGGGCCTCACCACCTTGATTAGGAAGATTATTTAATCTAAACCTGCCCTCTTTCAATGTAAAGCCATTACCCCTTGCTTATCAGATAACCACCTGTAATTGGATTATTAAATTCTGAAATGAAATGCTTGTCCTGTTAGCCTTTCAATAGATTCTCCAATAGGTGGCATATCAGTTTATCTGCATTCTTCACTTTTACAGCCTTACATTTCACAGTTTGGTGACCCTTCGGGAGATTCCAGCTTTGGTAATAACCCACTGAATGGAGAATTGTGGAGAAGCATTATGTAATAAGTGGCTACAGTCCATAAAACGTCCAATTTCAAAAGCCTGATTTTATTCCCAACGTAATTCTCTCAGTTTCAATGTTTTGTGCCAGGGATGTTTGATTTTGAACCTGAATGTACAAAAGGAAAGATGTAATTTGCAGTTTCCAGCGAACAGTAAAGGATGCAGGTCTGATATTAAGATACATAAATAGATGCTTGGATTTTGGTCAATCGGTGATATTTTAAAAGTGAATTGGTTAAACTGTTAATGTAAATGGAGGGGGATTATGAGAGGTGGGGATTTTTATGCAGCTCTTGGAAACCAACATCGCAAGGCTGCTGTTTCTCGCCCAGATCACTTATTTTATAAGCGCCAGGTTTCGCATACAAACGCTTTCTCTTATCCTAAGTGTTTACGGCTGCCTGAAGGTATAATTGAGCAGCACCACTCAGCTAGCACGGAGCAGCGTTCCACGCCTGGCCGGTGCCCGTCACTGTGCGCTCCCGGGCACAGAGCGGCTCCGAAAGCAGCGGCAGACACCGAAGAAGCGCAGGCAGAGGCGGTCCCCGCCGGGAGGCAGACGCGGGGCGCAGCCCGGC